CTCCCAGGACAGTCAATTGTGCCCTCAGTGCCTTGACTCCCCCAGCCTCATTCACCCTCCCATCTCCCACACCCCAGGGGCCCTCTGGGCCTGGCTTGGCCCTCACTTTCCTCTATTTCCCCAGTCTGCACAACATGCCAGCCTCTCTCCCAGGAGATATGGGGGCCTGGTTCCACCCTCACTTCCCTCTACTTCCCAGGGCTGCACAACCCACCACCCTCATTCCTGGATGCCAGGGCTGACCTTTCTGCTTCCAGATGCTTTATATCCAGACCAACCCAGTTCCTCAGTGCAGTCCCCAGGATCCCTTGGGGTCTCTTCCTGCCCCCATCTCCCTTTGCATCTCTGGGTGGCATGGCAACTAGCTGTGCTAGACCACCATATTTCCTGGGCCCTGCTCCCAGGCCAGTCCAACCCTCAAATCCCAAAAGGACAAAATCTTAACCCAATTTTTATCCATATCTCCCTTATTAAGGCCTGTTTCCTACTGTTCTCTCTTTCAGATTCTTTCTTTTCCTTTACCTCCCTGTTTCCTTTCCATTATACTGGTTACTGTATTTAATTCTGGTTGCATACTTATTTATCAGTATAATGGAAAGGAAACAGGGAGGTAAAGGAAAAGAAAGAATCTGAAAGAGAGAACAGTAGGAAACAGGCCTTAATAAGGGAGATATGGATAAAAATTGGGTTAAGATTTTGTCCTTTTGGGATTTGAGGGTTGGAGTGGCCTGGGAGCAGGGCCCAGGAAATATGGTGGTCTAGCACAGCTAGTTGCCATGCCACCCAGAGATGCAAAGGGAGATGGGGGCAGGAAGAGACCCCAAGGGATCCTGGGGACTGCACTGAGGAACTGGGTTGGTCTGGATATAAAGCATCTGGAAGCAGAAAGGTCAGCCCTGGCATCCAGGAATGAGGGTGGTGGGTTGTGCAGCCCTGGGAAGTAGAGGGAAGTGAGGGTGGAACCAGGCCCCCATATCTCCTGGGAGAGAGGCTGGCATGTTGTGCAGACTGGGGAAATAGAGGAAAGTGAGGGCCAAGCCAGGCCCAGAGGGCCCCTGGGGTGTGGGAGATGGGAGGGTGAATGAGGCTGGGGGAGTCAAGGCACTGAGGGCACAATTGACTGTCCTGGGAGAGAGGCCTGTGGGTCTTCACTAGTGTGTTTTTAAAGGTATGAAGTATTTTAAGAGTGTACACTTGCAGGGCGTGGTGGCACGTGCCTTTAATCCCAGCACTGTGGAGGCAGAGGCAGGTGGATCTCTGTGAGTTCAAGGCCAGCCTGGTCTATATAATGAGTTCCAGGACAGCTGGGGCTACAGGGACACCCTGTCTCAAAAAGAACCCCCCCCAAAAAAGTGTATTTTGAAGGGGTTTCCTGTCCTCCTCCCAGGATCCAGCCATATGCGGACTCCATGGACTCTAGGAAGCTGGGAAGAAACCCTGGCCAGAATCAGAGGCAGACTGCTTCCCCCGACATGCCTAAGTTCTGGAACAAGAACTTGGGCCTCTTCCAGCCATAGCTGCCCCCCCCCCCTTTTTTTTTTACCTTGGGGGCAAGATGGCATTCAGGATTTCTTCTGCCTGCTTGGTAGGATCTGGGCCACAGGAAGTTGAGGGGAGCTTGGACTTGGGTGGCTGTGGGACTGGACCCGAGGGTCCAGGCTGCCGGGGACTGACTTTCAGTGGCTTGGCCTGAGAAGGGAGAGGTGAGGCAGTACCTCAGGATTGCTACAGGTCTCGGGTACAGCCCTCCCCTTTCCCAGCCTACTTTCCTCGTCTGTCTTCTCAGCAGAAGCGTCTGCGGTGAAAGAGGCCACGAGGGGCCTCTGGTCTCGACCCTGTATTTGAACTGGTATTTCCAGCACGAGTGGACAGGCCTCAGCTCTGACTCGCTAGAGATGGAAAAATCGCTACCTCATCTATTTTTGGACTAGGCAGAGCAAGCCCCATCCATCTTTCTGTGACTTCTTCCGTATTTTAAATCTGTCCTCTGGGGTCACAGCTACTCCTCTCGTATCCTCCTTCCCTGTCCCAGTTCCCTTGGCTGTCAGTCCTGCAATCCTTGTCTCGGGTATCCAGAGATCCTCAGGGCTGAGACAATTTTCCCACGGGAGTTTCTAGGCTTTTCCTTCGCCACTCCCACACATCCCTTAGACCTGTCCATACCTTGGGGCTCCGTTTCTCCGTGTTCCGGCTCACCAACACCGGGGTGTCATATTTGAGCAGAGAGTCCGCGGGAGGTATCATGGCGGCAGAGGGGGTAGCAACTCCTGAGCTGACCCTCCAGGCTGGGCTTGTTTGCGGTCACCATGGAAACCCCTCTGGCTGCCCCCCCCCCCGCCCCCCGATGGTTGGGGCGGGGCGTCGGAAGGAGACGGAGCCAGCCGCGCACTTTCTCTGTCCTGAGCCTGCTCCACAAACTCTGTTCTGGCCTTTGACTTCTTAGAAAAGGAGCATTCAGTCTCACAGCGTTCCGTCTAGTTTGTGATGTAAATGGGCTGGGCAGATCATCTCTGCTGAGCCTTGAAACGGGGGGAGGGGGGGCATCCCCTGACTTCTTCGCTATGGAAGGCATCTGGCATTCTTGGGTCTTAAAAAGTGTCTTAAATTTTTAAGGGGCTGGAGAGATGGCTCAGCGGTTAAGAGCGCTAGCACTGGCTGCTCTTGCAGAGGACCCAGCACCCACATGGCAGCTAACAACCATCTGTTAACTCCAGTTCTAGGGGATCCTACAGCCTCTTCTGGCCTCCTTGGGCCTTGCAGATATGGGCACAGTTACACACATGCAGGCAATACACTCATACACATTAAAAAAATAAATAAAGCTGGGCTTGGTGGCACATGCCTTTAGTCCCAGCACTCACTCAGGAGGTAGAGGCAGGAGAATCTCTGCGAGTTCAAGGCCAGCCTGGTCTACATAGTTCCAGGCCAGCTGGGGCTACCAGGAGACCCTGTCTCAAAAAGACCAAAAATAATAATTAATTAAATTTAATTTAATAATAAATTTAACATTATTATTTAATAATAAATAATAAAATATTTAAGAATTGTTTTTAAGCGGCCACCGTGGTAGCGGATACCTGTGATTCCAACAGTAACAGTTGGGGTGAGGCAGGAGGATCACATGTTCAAAACCAGCCTGGGTACTTTTTTTTTTTTTTTTTTGAGACAGGGTCTCCCAGTAGCCCCAGCTGGCCTGGACTCACAGAGATCTGCCTGCCTTTGCCTCCCAAGTGCTGGGATCAAAGGCAGAGTGCTGGGATTAAAGGTGTGCACTACCACACCTGACCCCAACCTGGCTACTTGAGACCCTGTTTTGAAAAAAACTTAAAAAAAAATTTTTATTTATCATTTTTATTGTATATGAATGTATTGCCTGCATGTATGTAGTGCACCTGTATCATGTTGTGCAATGTCGAGGTCAGAACAAGGCATTGGATCCCCTGGAACTGGAGTTCCAGACGGTTGTTAGCCACCATATGGGTGCTGGGAATTGAGCCCAGGTCCTCTGTAAGAGCACTTGCTGAACCATCACTCCTGCCTGGAAAAAAAATCTCTTAAAATTTAAACTGAGCTAGGTGTGGTGACACTTTCATGTGATCCCAGCACTCAGGAGATTAAGGATAAAGGATCACACTGGGCAACATGGTGAGATCCTATCTAAATAAGTAAATAAATTTAAATTAGGAGATAACAATATACCATGAAACTCAGGAAATAGAAGGGAAAAATAAAAGGGAAAAAAGAAGTAGAGCAGGAAATACTCTACCTGTCCGTGAATTACCACCTATGATTGTCTTTCTGGTCCTCTTTCCTTCCTGTTCCCAATGTTAATTACATTTTGAACATTCTGTTTCCTGCTTTGCAGTTTAACACGAATTTTTTCCCATTTTAACATAGAGTTTATAAATGGCATACTAAGAGCCATTAATTACCTAAAGAATTTCCTACTGTTTTGTAACTAGCTATGATGCCCAACAGTGTTAAGAAGTTAGCATTCCCACACAATGTTATCTGTCTTGTCATTTTTGAGGTTTTTTTTTTTTTTTTTTTTTAGACCAGGCTGGCCTTACACTCACAGAGATCCACCTGCCTCTGCCTCCCAAGTGCTGGGACTACAGGCGTGAGCCACCACGCCCGGCTGAGGTGTCATTTTGATTGCATCCAGGGCCTTGGTGCATGCTAGGCAAGTGCTCTACCTGTTATTGAGATACATCCCCAGACTCCCTTTTAACTTACTTTTCATTCATTCATTTTTTATGTGTTTGAGTGTTCTTCCTGTATGTAATTGCACCCGTGTCTTGCAATGGCCACGAAGGTCAGAAGAGGCAGCATGCCCCCCCCCCGCACCCTTTAACTTTAATTAATTTATTTGTTGGTGCTGGAGGTGGACTCCAGGGCCTTGAACTTGGCTAGGCAAGCTTTCTACTTCTAAGCTAGTGATTTTCTTGTTTTGTTTTTGTCTATTTTAGGACAGGGTCACTCTAGCTGGGTGTGGTGGCACATGCCTTTAATCCCAGCACTCAGAGGCAGGTGGATCTCTGTGAGTTTGAGGACAGCCTGGCCTACATAGCAAGTTCCAGGCCAGTTGGGGCTACAGGGGGACCCTGTCTTAAAAACACCAAAAAAAAAAAAAAGGTCTTTCTGTGCCCAGCAGCTGGCCTGAAACTTACTATGTAGACCAGGCTGGTCTCGAACTCCGAACTCACAGAGATCTACATGCCTCTGCCTCCAGAGTGCCGGGGTTAAAGGCGTGCGGCCCTATGCCCATCACCTACATTTTATCATTCTGAGATAGAGGCTCCCTAAATTGCCCAGGCTGCCCTCGAACTTGCAGTGTCCTCCAGCCTTGGCTTCCCCAGGGCTAAAAATGCAGGTGTGAGCCGTCGGCAGGCCTCCCCTCCCAGCAGTAGGAACGCAGGCCACCGCTCGTGTGCCACCGCCCCAGCTCTCTTGCGCTTCTCAGATTTAAAACTCCCGGGTCCTCACCTGTCACCTGAGGCCCCGCCCACCAGAGGGGTGGGGTCGGGGCGAAAGTCACGTGCCTCGCTGCTGCGCCGCGAGGGCTTCTGGGAGAGCCGCATCCCGGAAGTGGAAGAGCAGAGGTCAGCTCGTCTTTTCCTGCTGCTAGAGTGCCTCAACGGACCTTGGAGGTGTCGCTCGGCCGGGGCCGCAGGATGAAGGAGGTGAAGAGCGAGCGGGAGCGCGGCGGCCGGCGGCGGCACCGGGCAGGCGACGCGGTGGCCACCGTGGTGGTGAAGCAGGAGCGCCTGAGCCCCGAGTCCGCCTCGCACCGCCGGCCAGACGTCCCCGCCGGCAGCCCGTCCCCGCCGACCACCGAGTCCGGCCGCGCCGGCCGCCGAGGGAGCCGAGCCCGGGGAATCAGCCGGTGAGCGGGGTGGATTTGAGCGACGCTGGGCTGCTTCCTCCGGGACCTGCCTTCAGATCCCTAGCACCTAGTTCCACCGAGTTGAAATGAGATTCCGCCCACGGGTGGACGGCGGGAACGTCTTTCCAGTTGTCTGTCACTAAAGCATTGGGTTCTAGGCGAGCAGCTGATAGAGACGGAACAGCTTTTTTCTGCGTTCTATCGTTTATGCATTTATACAGCATATTTTGCTGTAACAGTGCCTGTGGTGTGCTCAAGATCGTTCTAGGTACTGGACCACAGTTAGGCTAGCGAAATTGGACATGCTCAAACCCCAAGGCGGAACATAACAAGCGGCTAGATTATTTCAGTTAGTATTAAGGGTAGGTTAAAACCGTAATGTAGTGAGAGGATGAATGGAAAGGACCGCTGCAAAGATGCCATTTAAGTTGAGATCTGAATAAGATCGACCTGGCCCTCTTGGCAATCCAGGCAGAACCCAGTGTGATGGTACATGCTTGTAATCCAACACTGGGGAGGCTGAGGCAGGACTGAGTTCCAGGCCAATTTGGGTTACATAGTGTCACCCAATTTTAAAAAGAAAGAGAGAGAGAAAAAAAAAATCCAGCCAGAGGAAATAGAACCTGAAGTGGAAGTTGAAGATAAGAGCCAGTGTATGTAGAATTGAATGATCAAGGAGGGGCATGGTAGGCAGGAATGAGGTGGGATGGGGAGACAGGCTGGACCCCTAAAACTGGCTGATGGATTGGTTGTATGTGGTTGTTGGTGAAGAGAGAAGGTGGTGAGAAAAAGGGAAGATTGACTTCCAGGATGATGGTGCCTATTTGTGGGGTGGCCCACTGGGAAAAGAAAGGTTTTGAGTAGTTTGGGATCAGAGTTGAATGCAGCCCTGACTGCTCTAGAAGTTGCTGTGTAGACCAGGCTAGCCTCAACTCATGCTTGCCTCTTCTTCCTTTTTGAGTGCTGATTAAAAGCATGCGCCACCATGCCTGGCCCTAAGTGAGACAGTTTAATAGACTGTTGTGTATGTGGGTCTGTGAGAAATGGCTAGGCCTGACTCCTTTAATGATCAGGGGAAATTTTTACAGATTTGTTGTTTGTGTTTAGTAGGTAAACCAGATACTTGAAGCTAATTTATGTAGGGGAAGGGACATTGAGATAAAATCCTGTGTACCATGCTCTGAAAAGGTCCCCAGCCAAAAAGAAAAGCAAGTCCTCAGGGAGAAGAAGCAAATCTCCTCGCACCAAGAGAAACCGGAGTCCGCACTACTCCACCATCAAAGTAAAGCAGGTGAGTGGTGGACTGGGCTGTTGTGATGCTGATGAGGACTTCAAATCTAGAGCCTCTTCTCACTGGGCCTACAGACAGTTTGTACCCATGTGTGGACATGTTTTCTTGGCCTTGTGGTGGGCTTTTCTAAAACCTGGTTGTGCTTGGGTTTTTTTCTGCTTGTTTTGTTAGTATTTTATTGTGCGGTAGTTACTAATTCACACCTGATAGGAGCATTTGTCAGATATACTACAGAAAGTTTCTCCAAGTGGTAACATTTTAGCTATAGTACACTATAAGGTGCCTCCTGGCTTCCTGAATGGCCTCATTCTCTTCTTTCCACCCTGTCCTTCCTTAACTCCTCTCCTCCTTGTTTCCCTGTTTTTCTTTTCTCTTTTGAGACAAGGTATCACTATGTAGCCCTGTGACTAGGCCTAGATCTCTATGTAGACCAGGCTGGTCTCAGTCTCACAGAGATCTGCCTGCTTGGCTCTGCCTTCTGAGTGCTGGGATTAAGGGTGTGTGCCACCACGCCTGGTTCTTTTTTCTTTTATTTTGGTCTTTTTGGGTCTCCCTGTAGCCCCAGATGGCCTGGAACTCTCTAGACCAGGCTGGCTTCGAACTCACAGAGATCTGCCTGCCTCTGCCTCCCAAGTGCTGGGACTAAAGGCGTGCGCCCCCATGCCTAGCTCTTTTTTCATTTCAAAATGTACATTTGAATCCATGTTCCCTTCTTGGTTGTTTATAGTGCAGCTTAAGAGATGACACAGACTGAGCTTCATTTTTGCCCCGTTAATGCCACATATTGCAGCACCATTTGTTGAAAATCCATTTCTCCATTGGATTTTTTTTTTTACCTTTGTCAACAATTAGTTGGGCATATATTTGTCTATATCTAAATAATTAAAATTGAGTACCCTGATTCTATCTTTATTCTTTGAAAAATTGTTTAGCTGTTCTAGTTCTTTTCTCTATTTCTCTATATAAATATGTTGTAGAGAAATCTGGAGTGTGTGTGTGTGTGTGTGTGTGTGTAAAACTTGTTAGAGTCAGGTGTGGTGGCATATGCCTATAATTCCAGCTACTTGGGAGACTGAGGCAGGAATATCACAAGTTCAAGGCCAGTTTGGGCAGCTAAGTGAGACACTTATTTCAAAATAAAAAGTAAAAGGACTAGGGATGAAGCTTAGAAGTAGAGTGCCGTTGGTTTTTCTTAACCTGTACTCTGTGGCCCCAGCTATACCATGCCTTTTTGGTTTTTTTTGTTTGTGTTTTTTAGGCCCTGGGTTTTATTCCCATTCCCAACTCTCTCTCTCTCTCTCTCTCTCTCTCTCTCTGTCTCTCCTCTCTCTCTCTATTAGAATTGTGATAGGAATTGGGCAAAGTCTCTGTTTGGGAGAGAGAACTGACTTTTATTATTATGGGGTTTTTTTTGTTTTTTTTTTTTAATCTTCTTTTTTTCTTCTTTTGGTCTTTTTGAGACAGGGTCTCCCTGTAGTCCCAGTCGGCCTGGAACTCACTATGTAGACCAGGCTGACCTTGAACTCAGAGATCCATCTGCTTCCCCAGTCCTGGGACTAAAGGCTTGCACCACCATGCCCGGCCTTCTTTCTTATTTTTTCCTACCTTTTGTGTGTGCATTGTTTGTTGTTGTTGTTGTTTTAGGTATGGTAACTGAGATGCATGACAGATATATGCCCAACTAATTTTTGACAAAGGTGTTACTATGTAGCCCTGACTGACTTGGAACTTGCTATGTAGCCCTGACTGACTTGGAACTTGCTATATAGACCAAACTGACCTGGAACTCACAGAGATCCACCTGTCTGCCTCTACCTCTGGAGTGCTGGGATTAAAAGCTTGTGCCATCATGCCTACTATTTTTTAATACTTTAAATTTTTAACATTCATGTTTGCCTCAGCCCAAGTGTGGATGTTAGAGGACAATGCGAATTAGTTCTCTCCTTCTACTGTGGATCCTAGGAATTGAACTCAGGTCATCAGGCTTGGCAGCAGGTACCTTTACCCAGTGAATGAGCCATCTTGCTGGCCCTATGCTGTCTTTTTAAAAAAAATTTACTCATTTATTTTTATTTTCTGTGTATGAGTATATTGCCTGCATGTATGTAAGTACACCAGTGTTGGGCCCAAGGAGTTCAGAAGAGGGCGTCAGATCCCCTGGAACTAGTATTAGAGACAGTTCTTAGCTGCCATGTGGGTGCTGGGAATCAAACCCAGGTGGTCTTCAGGAACAGCCAGTGTTCTTACTGCTGAGCCATCTCTCCAGTTCCTGTCCTTTTTTTTTTTTTTAAATTGCATTTTATTTCCTTGTGTGTGGAATGGGGTGGGTGGGCACACATGTAGAGATCAGAGGACAGCTTGTGATAGTTCATTCTCTCTTTCCAACATGGATCCTAGGGATTGAACTCAGATTGTTAGGCTTGGTGGTAAGTGCCTTACCAACTGAGCTATCTCTCTGGCCTTCTACTATATCTTTTATTCCAGGAATACTATGTGTGTATCCTTGATTAGATTTGATGTGTGTGTGTGTGTGTGTTGGGAATTAAACTAGTCATGAACATTTGAACTACTTACACCACTTTGAAAAAGAAATAAAGTATAAATCTAAATGTATAAAATCTGTATGCTGGAAACTACAAATACTGATAAGTCAAGGAAGAGCTGACACAGTGGCTCAGGGATTAAGAGCACGCTGGCTTTCATGCGGAGGAGCCCGGTTCGGTTCCCAGCATCCATATCAAGGCTAACAACTGCCTTGACTCCCGTTCCAGGGGATCCAGTGCCCTCTTCTGGCTTCTATGGACATGGCATGACATGGGTGCACTTACATACATTTAGAATAGTCATACACGTAAAATAAAAATAAATTTTAAAATGGAAAAAAAAAAAAGAAGCATTCTGTGTCCAAAACAAAACAGGGGCCAGCATGTTGGAAATATTACCTGTTACCAGAATTATGGAGGACTGAAAAAGAGTCTCCATTTCATTTTAAAATATGCTGTTCCCTACAGAAAGAATTTTTTTTTTGTCTTTTTGAGACAGGGTCTCCCTGTAGCCCCAGCTGTCCTGGAACTCACTATGTAGACCAGGCTGGCCTTGAACTCACAGAGATCTGCCTGCGTCTGCCTCCTGAGTGCTGGGATTAAAGGTATTTTTATTTTATGTGTATGAGTGTATTGTCTGCATGTATGTGAGTGCACTCGTGTCATGCAGTGCTGTGGAGGTCAGAAGAGGGCTTCGGATTCCCCTGGAACTGAAGTTAAGGACGATTCATAGCCGCCATGTGGGTGCTGGGAATCGAACCCCGGTCCTCTGCAAGAGCAGCCAGTGCTCTTAACCGCTGAACCATCTCTCTAGCCCCCTGACTTTTTTCTTTATTTGAGACAGTGTCTCACTGTGTAGACCAGACTGGACCTGAACTCACAGAAACCTGCCTGTCTCTGCCTCCTGAGTGTTGGGATTAAAAGCATGCGCCACCACGCCAGTGCTACCTACTCTTACTAGGCATGAGTCTCCCTCTGGATTCTTGTCTTTGAAGGCTAGGAAATCTAGAGAAACTAAGTCTTACTCTAGCAAGGAGACTCCTGCTGACCTCCTGTGTGGTAGGGAGAAGGCTGGGGTGGGAGTGAGGCCTATGTTCCAGTGCTTAGGGTTCACCTTTACCGTTCTCCACTGAGTCAGTCAACCTTGCTCACAGTTTACAGAACTCCCTTTCCACTAGGGAGGCTAAACAGCTGATAGATCAGGACAGTCCCTGATTATAGTAACACTTCTCTTTGTGACTACTTTGAAAAGTCCTTTCTGCTTTGGTTTTGTGGTTGTATTCCAGTGTGCCTAGATGACAAATTTCCTTTTATTATGAGGATTCATCTTCTTGACACTAAGGTATTTTTTCATTAAAATTCTTTGGAAAAATGGGCACAATAACTCATGCCTGTTATTCTAGCACTCTTAAGATGGAGGAAGGGGGATCAGGAGATCAGGGCCAGCCTGGGATATATAAGACTCTGTCTCATTATTGCCCCACCCCCACACAAAAAAACCCCAAAAAGTGCCAGGTATAGTGGTTCATGCCCATGGTCCCAACGTGGAAGCTAAGGAGGATCACAAAATCAGGGCCTGCTTGGGCTACAGGAAAAAAAAGAAAATCAGAGCTATGGATGTTGCTCATTGGCCGAACACCTGTCTGTCACAAATGAGGCCCTGGGTTATCCTCAGCACTGCCAAAATAAAACAAGTAAAGGCAGAAATTGGAACCCTTCTGTACTGTTGTTAGAAACGTAAAATGGTATAGACATTATAGACGACATTATGGCAGTTCTTCAAAAAATTAGCATTACTTTATAGTCCAATAATGTCATTTCTGATTATATATCTAAAAGAAGTAGAAGTAGGGTCTTGAGATATTTGTATCGCCATAGTCATGGCATTATTCAGAATGGACTAAAGGTGGAAGCAACTGATATGTCTATCGATGAGTGACAAAACAAAATGCATGCTTGCATGTGTGCCCACATACACCCCCAAACACAGTGGGATATTATTCAGCCCCAGAAACAAAGAAAATTCTGACACATGCAAAGGTGGATGGACCCTGGTGACATAATGCTTAACAAACCAGGCACAATAGGACAATTGCATGTTGCCACTTGGTCTCCCTGTAGCCCCAGCTGTACTGGAACTTATTACAGGCTAGCCTTGAACTCACAGAGATCCGCCTGCCTCTGCCTCCCCAGTGCTGGGATTAAAGGTGTGCGCCACCACGCCTGGCCTTTGTTAGAACTTTTAAAAACAGTATACTAGAGCATTGGATTGGGTCTCCAGCACCAACATAGCAACTAACATCTGGTTCCAGAGGATCTGACGCCCTCTTGCCTCTGCAGGAATTGCATGCATGTGGTACACTTAGATGCAGGCAAAAACACTCATAAAAATAAGAATAAATAAAATTTTCTGAAAAACAAAATAAGGGGCTGGAGAGACGGCTCAGCAGTTAAGAACACTGTTCTTGCAGAACACCCAGGTTCAAATCCAAGCACCCACATGGCAGCTAACAACTGTCTGTAACTCCAGTTCCAGGGGAGCTGACAGCCTCTTCTGTCTTCCTTGGGCATTTCACGACACAGGTGCACTTACCTACATGCAGGCAATACACACATACACATAAAATAAAAATAATAAATAAAATATTAAAAAAGATAAAAAACAACCCAGCACTCGGGGGGCAGAGGCAGGCAGATCCCTATGAGTTCAAGGCCAGCCTGGTCTACATAGTGAGTTCCAGGACCGCTGGGGCTATAGGGAGACCCTGTTTCAAAAAGACCAAAAAAACCCCCAAAAAACAAAAAAATAAAAAACAAAATAAAATTTTATAGGTTTCCTATGTCTTTCATGTTTCTTAAGTTTCTTCCTAGAGCTGGCTTTTTTCTTTACATATCTTCTGTGTGGCTACTTAATTCTCTTTGTTTTCTGTATCTGCTACCTTGTGAGTTTGCTTATAGTTGACACATGTTCCAAGAAAAAGGATATCATTTCCCCTTCTCTCTGTGTCAACCTGTTTTCAGAGCTCTGGTCATAGGCTTGTGCTATAAGACTGTGTATGAGTAGCAGCATGGGATTTGTAGTGTTAATGGCCTTTTAAGGGGACAAGACCATCACAGATAACCTTGTGTCAATGGGAGTTTGTTCTGAATACCAAAATCCAGGACATAGATGAATATTTGCATGCTCTATGTTCATAGAGTGTGAGCTGTCTTTCATTTGCTGAATCCATCTGAATTTCAGGAACGTGAGGATCATCCACGGAGAGGACGTGAGGATCGGCAGCACCGTGAGCCAGCAGAACAGGAGCACAGGAGAGCTCGAAACAGTGAGCGACACCGAGGCCATTCCCGCCAGAGGAGGAGCTCTGATGAGAGGCCTGGCAGTGGGCAGACTCAGGGTCGGGATCGAGATAGCCAGAACCTGCAGGCCCAGGAAGAAGAGCGGGAGTTTTACAATGCCAGGCGTCGGGAGCATCGCCAAAAGAATGAAGGCAGTGGTGGGGGGGAGGCCCAGGAGGCTGTCCCTCGACCTGCTGGCAACAGTAAAAACAAAGAGGTGCCTGTTAAAGAAAAACCAAGCTTTGAGCTTTCTGGGGCACTTCTTGAGGACACCAACACCTTCCGGGGTGTAGTTATTAAATACAGCGAGCCTCCAGAAGCCCGGATCCCCAAAAAACGGTGGCGACTCTACCCCTTTAAAAATGATGAGGTGCTTCCAGTCATGTACATCCATCGGCAGAGTGCTTACCTTCTGGGCCGGCATCGCCGCATTGCAGACATTCCCATTGACCATCCTTCTTGTTCAAAGCAGCATGCAGTATTCCAGTACCGGTAGGTAGAGGCTTGGATGGAGAACTGAGAAGGTACCAGGGCAGGGTCTCAGGATTCCCATTCCTACGTGGATGTGCACAAGAGTCCACTACTCTCAAGTCTAGTGGTTTGGAGGAGTTCTATTAAGTCTGAGTCCATTGAATTGTCTCTTACATTTGCAGAAGAGGCTTGAACTTGGTGTTAGAAATCCGGGTTTTAGTCTTGCCATTGGTAGTAATGCAAGCCTATAATCATGGTTTTCAGGAGCCTGCCTCAAAAAAAAAAAAAAAAAAAAAAGGAAAAACGGGAAATCCTGCCACATGGGGCTGGAGAGAAGGCTCAGCTGTTAATAGCACTTGCTGTTCTCACAGAAGACCTTAGTTCAGTTCTTGGCACTCACATGGCAGCTCACAGCTATTTCTAACTCCAGTTCCAGGGGATCTGATGCCCTCTTCTGGCTTCACTGGCACTGCACGTGCATGGTGCACTTACATATGTATAGACAAAACACTCATACACATAAAAAATGAAAAGCCAGGGATGATGATGCACACCTTTAATCCCAGATGGATGGATGGGTGGATGGGGTGAACTTTAAAAAGAAAGGAAGGAGAGAGAGGGGCACCTGGAGAGTGTTTTTAATCCCAGCATTCTGGAGGCAGAGGCAGGCAGATCCAGTTGGGACTACAGGAAGACCTTGTCTTAAAAAACAACAGATTTAATCCCAGCACTAGGGAGGCAGAGGCAGGCCGATCTCAAGACCAAAAAAATAAAAAAAGTAAAACAGAGAGAGAGGACTTTAAAAAAAATCCTGCTGCACTGTTTGAACCCATTTCTACCTGCCTCATAGGGCTGTTATAAGGATTAAATGGGAATAGAAATAAATAAAAATTCCTGGCATGTATGCTAGCTAAACGTGCCTGGATTGTATACCATTACCATTGGACCCTCACAACCATCCCATGAGGAAAACAGGGCAGAATTAACATCTCTGCCTCACAGGTGAGAAAACTGAAGTTTAGCAGAGCCTGGTGACAGACTCAGTAAGTGATGATCAGAGCAGAGCTGTGGCTCACATCTAGCCCTTGGCTCTCAAGTCCTAACTAGACTGTTTTTTTCCATTTTGGGCTGGTCCTAGTATAAGACAGGTAAAAGAGTTTTGTTGGTTTAACTTTTTTTCTTGTGTGTGTGTGTGTGTGTGTGTGTGTGTGTGTGAGAGAGAGAGAGAGAGAGAGACAGGGTTTCCTTGTGACTTGGACAACTTACGTAGACAAATCTGACCTCCATCTCACAGAGATCTGCCTGCCTTTGCCTACCAAGTGCTGGGATCAAAGGTATGTGCCACTACACCTGGCAAAAAGGTCTGTTTGTAACCATAGCAAGAGGCCTTGAGTTCTGCATTTCAAGCTTGGAATTTTTCGTGGACAGCCACCTAGCCACAGCCAGCCTTGCCTGTTTTTTTTGAGACGGGGGTCTCCCTGTAGCCCCAACTGGCCTGGAACTCACTATGTAGACCAGGCTGGCCTTGAACTCACAGACATCTGCCTGCCTCTGCCTCTCAAGTGCTGGGATTAAAGGCGTGCACCACCATATCCTGCACCTATGCATGTTTTTGATCCATTCCCAATCTCTTTACTCCAGGCAGTATTTTCCCCATGACTTCCCAGAATTCTCACTTGAATCATTCAAGCCAGGCCATTGAGGTCCAGCTGTGCAGCTGAGAGCTTTAGAGGAGACTGGATGGTCTCTGGTTGGACTTTGCTCACAGGCTTCTCTCCCTTCTTTCTTCTAGGCTTGTGGAATACACCCGGGCTGATGGCACAGTTGGCCGGAGGGTCAAGCCCTACATCATTGACCTTGGCTCAGGCAATGGAACTTTCTTGAACAACAAGCGTATTGAGCCACAGAGATACTATGAACTAAAAGAAAAAGATGTGCTTAAATTTGGGTTCAGTAGCAGAGAGTATGTCTTGCTCCATGAGTCATCTGACACCTCCGAACTAGACAGAAATGAGGAGGATGATGAGGAGGAAATGGTGTCTGACAGCTAGCAAACTGAGAAAGGCCCCAACTGTTGAAACTTTTCCTACTCAGGAGGCTTTGGATTGACTCCACAGCGCCTCTTATTGCCTTAAATCTTTGCTCTATTGCTGACCAGCGTATGTTGTCATTTGAGAACAGTAACTTTGTGTTTTGTTGGAACTTGTTTTTGTGGCACATCAGCCCCATGCCTGTGAGCATTTGTCTTCAGAACAGTCTCACCAATTACAGCACATTGTGTTTCAGTAGAAGCATTGTGGCTTAGTTGGTGCTTTTGGAACTGCTGCCTAGGAAAACTAAACCCTTGGTTAAAGGGGTGTGGCTTCTCTTTGTGCAGTTACTGTATTTATACCATCCTTGAGCTTTGTGGACCAGGAGTTTTGTTTTGGGGACAAAGAGGGAGAGAATCTTCATAAGCTTTGGTTGTCACCAAAACAACCTCCAGCACATGCCAAAGCTTTGACCTGGTTGAGCTCTTGAGTTGTAGAAGTTGATTTTGCACTTAATCTTTTGGGGGTGAGATTTACCATGTGACCTCATTATTGACTGTCTAACTTAAGCAGATGCTCTGTGGCACCCGTGTAAAGATGTGACCTCGCAGGGAGGTTGTGGCTCCTACAACAGGTGTTGGTATATCAGGAGAGACTGCAGTAGTGGGTTGTAGATCTGTTTCCTGTAAGAGAATTCCCAGTTTCCCCATGAAACATGGACTTAATGATTTCCATCATTTCGTCTGTTTCTTCAGCTTTGCATTTTTATTCAAATGTCACCTGTTTTTCTCCCTTCTTTTAGAAATACACTCACTTTGTAGCAGGAGCCTTGCTTTAGTCTAACAACATATATATGTCTAAAGGAGGTTGTGTAGCCTACATGTTTCTACACATTTCATCTTTTAAAGTGTGTTTCTATTTACCTACCAAGGGTGGAGAGCAAGGAGACTGCCTGGTTTCCAGATTTTCCACCTGGGGACTTTGGTGTAAGTAGGCAATGTTTGTATATACTAATGGTGTGTTTCAGAGCTGCATACTGATTTTCATATGACAATGTTTATGATATGTAATACCACGTGATAGGCAAAGACCTGGCCTGTTTGCATTTGAAGAACAGGTTTTCATTTATATGTATTTTTGGGATAAAAAAATAAAATTTGTAAATATAGTCCCATTTTAGCAGATAATACCTTACTTGCATAGAGGACTTAGGTTCATAGGTCTGTCTGCTGCTGAAAGAATCTTTGTATCAGTGTTCTTGTTAGATTTAGGAGGGCAGAAAAGGAATGGAGTTTAAAGTTAAGAAATAAGAACCAGGGGCTGGAGAGATGGCTCAGCGGTTAAGAGCACTGACTGCTCTTGCAGAGGACCCGGGTTTGATTTGCAGCACCCACATGGCAGCTATGAATCGTCCTTAACTCTGATGCCCTCTTCTGACCTCTGAGGCATTGCATGACACGGGTGCACTCACATACATGCAGGCAATACACTCGTACACATAAAATAAAAATAATAAAATATTTTTTTAAAAAAGAAATGAGAACCAGAGCCAAACCTGCAACAGGCATGGAATGTGTCCTTCATTCAAAGAACACAGCAAAGGGCAAAAAAACCTTCCTGTGGAATTCGGGCATCTGTAGGGATTTGCTTAGTGCCAGGGTCTGGTGTCCTTGAGGGTCTCTCTCCCAAGATTATTTTCACAAGCAGGCAAGCTATTTTAGGGCACTAAAGGAGACAGGTTGGCTCCATAAACAGTCTCCCTCAGTCCAAGGAGCGACCAGTTGATAAAACTTGAGAGAGGCCAGCCTGCCAATTTAGGGCCAGTTAGCCATTTTAAGGGACTTATGGATTTCCCTAATGAAGTTTATGGCTCTTCTGCAGTTCACACATTCTATCAGTTCTGATGGTAAAAATAGGACGTTGTCGGAGGAGGACAGGAACTGTGTGTGCACTGGAATCCAGGCCCTTGTACCTCAGCATGGAGGCATGGACCACATGGAATCACCAGGGCTTTTCTGAACTGGCGTGTAAGGTTTTATCCTTCTCCAAAAGGGAAGGTTATGTGTAGATGGCCCTTCACAGTGAAAATACCATGAGGACCATTTCATCCTCTGGTGGTGGCCTTGTTAGCTTTCTGTTGCTGTGATAAACATCATGACCAAAAAGCAACTTGGGGATGAAAGGGTTTATTTCAGCTTAGAACTCCCGGGTCACAATCCGACATTAAGGGACATCAAGGCAGGAACCTGGAGGTAGGAACTGAAGCAGAGACCATGAAGAAACATTTCTTATTGATTTGCTCCTGGTTTGCCTGGTATTTATTATGCCAGCAACATAATCACTTGAACAAATACACTGTCTCTTTAAGAGACAGTTTTGTCTTTTTGAGACAGGGTCTCCTGTAGCTTCAGCTGGCCTGGAACTCACTCAGTAGACCAGGCTGGCATCTGTTACAGAGATCCACCTGCCTCTGCCTCCCAAGTGCTGAGATAAAAAGATGGTTAAATTCAGTTCTGTTTTTGTTTTTTTGTGTTTTTTTGGTCTTTTTGAGACAGGGTCTCCGTGTAGCCCCAGCTGTCCTAGAACTCAACTATGTAGACCAGGCTGGCCTTGAACTCACAGAGATCCACCTGCCTCTGCCTCCCCAGTGCTGGGATTAAAGGCGTGTGCTACCACGCCTGGCTAAATTCAGTTTTTAAGAGTGGGCCCAAACTTTGATGACACTAGTTTCCTTAGGTATCTATCAGAATCTTCTGTTTTCCAGAACTGCCCATGGGTCTCTTCACAACCTGTGCAGATGGAACTGTCCCTGAAACCTCAGCACTATGTCCCTGGTTGGGCCACACCCATAATTCAAAATGGTTTCTCTAGCTTCTTTGGGAAAGTATAAGTTCAAATTTGGCTTCACCCTTAGTCCTTTTAGGCCCTCTGGTCTTTACATTTATTTAAGGTCACAAGTCCTTCCCAGAGTTCCAAGGGTGGGTGTGCTGCTTGCACTTTGTTATGTTAATTTTCAAGTATACCCACATCATCTGGGGAGTATCAAACAGGAACTGAGGTAGCCTAGGAGAAGTCAGTCATCTGACCCAAGAGCATGTGTTTTACTGGGGTTAATTAAAAGTCATGACCCTTTGTGGTGCTTGCCTTTAATCCCAGCACTCTGGAGGTGGTAGCAGGCAGATGACTGACTTCTAGGCTACCTCGGTTCCAGTTTGATACTACACAGATGCCTTACATTTTTGTAGTAACAGAACAAAGAAAAGTCATAAATCAAGACACTTTTCAAATACATTGGAGGATACATTCAGTAGGTGGGTTGCAGCTACTGAGGGAGGATTTTTTTAAACTACAGGTCTCAGATGATGTCTGATGACTTTCTTAGTCTTTTGATTGGTGAGACCAGGTGGTCTGCTAGGATGATACATTCTAAAAGGTTCTTTATCTATTTAAGTCACTGGATGTTAGATCAGAAACAGGTGGGTGGGCAAGGAGTGGCTGTTCAGGGTGCTAAAGATGGCCAGAGATAAATGGTAATTGGGCTCTGGACCTGCAGCATTCCAAACTCTCCACATTCATTGAAATTCTAATCAGTTGAATCAGTCTTGCAGGAGAAAGTCTGGTTTGAAGACCGGAGGTTTTTTTCTGGGGACTTTTATTCAAAGTTGGCACCATCCACAGGGGGCTGGGCCCTCCCACAGCCATCAATAGTCAAGAGAATGCCACACATACTTGCCCACCGGCCAGTCTGACAGAGGAATCCTCAACTGAGGTCTCTTCTTCCCAGTTGTATCAAGTTAACCAAGATTAGCTGTTATAGGAGGTACCACCCCTCAGCCTCTGCTGCTGTTCACTCCTCCTCCTGGGGCTGAAATTTAGATTGTCTTTCTTCCTGTAGTCATGGCCTCTCATATCCTTAGGTACTCAGGGTTGGAGGGGAGGGGTACCTCATACGCATTCAAAAGAGATGAAAAAATTCCCTTTGAAGACTGAACACATCAGTCAATTAGCTGAAAAGTAGGATGAAGGGAAGCTACCAGAACCAGTGGAAAACAATTACCTTCTGTTCCTCATTGGATCTAGAATTGCCAGCATCCTCACTGATAAGTACTATCACTGTTCCCTACCTGTGTTGAGAAAGGAGATTTGGTTTTGATGAACTTTTCTCTAGATCCAGACAAGGTTTTCTGTCACATTCAGCCCTAATCTGGCATCTTACTGTAGCGTCCTTGTTCACTGATAATCTTGGACTTTGCTTCAATACCTTCCTGGTAGGTACTGCGGTAGATGATTGTTTGCTTACATTTTTCAGTAAAGAGGTCCCAGTTAGCAAGGAATGTTGGCTCAAGCCTGTGCTCATAGCACTGGGTAGGCTGAGGCAGGAAGATTGCTGCAAATTCGAGGCCATTGTGGGCTACATGAGCAAGTGAGACAGCCTGGCCTAAAGAGTGAGGCTGTCTCAAAACAACAAAGTGTCCCAATTCGGTTGGGAGCCTTTGTTTCAGTGGCTTAATGCTATTCTGGATTAAGAGCTTTGTGGCAGCTGAGAAGATGTTTTTATTTTCTGTTTTCCTCCTTTTTAGAAAGACTGTCGAAGGAAAAATCTATTCCCAAAGCTTAGAAACTTGTTCATCTTTGCTACTTGTAGTTCTTATTTTTATTTATTTATTTATTTATTTATTTATTTATTTATTTATTTATTTATCTTTTTGAGACAGGGCCTCCCTGTAGCCCAACTGACCTCTCCCTGTAGCCCCAGCTGTCCTGGAACTCACTATGTAGACCAGGCTGGCCTTGAACTCACAGAGATCCGCCTGCCTCTGCCTCCCAAGTGCTGGGACTACAGGCGTGCACCACCACGCCTGGCTTATTTTTATTTTTTAATGGCTTTTAAATTTGTATTTGTACAAGTGTTTTGGTCGCTGGTATATTTATTGGTCTATATATAGTGCCCACATAACCTGCAAGA